GGCAACTCCGCGCTGGCAATTCAAAAGGAGCGCCTGAAACCATCACATTTCCGGCTCCCGAGCCACAATTGGTATTCACTATTTACACAAGGCAACGGGCATAGCAGAAACATCTGGCAAATCACAACATCGGTGGCCGAACTAACCTGCTAAATTCGTGTTGTTTTTGTGCTGTTGACCCGACTTTTGGAATGTCTATTTCGGGTGTCAAAAAGTTCTAAGAAACTACGCAGCTCTGTATCATGTGGAGAACAATTTTACTACGCCGGGCTTATGCCGGTGTGTTTCAGTCTGTGCTACAAAAGGGCGATCCAGGTTTCTCCAAGTTTCCTCCGTCGGAGCTCCCACTACTTGTAAATCAATGCCGATCATTCAGCAAACCTCCGAGGTATAGGAATCCACCTCCTCCAATCAAACCAGAGGAACCCTTGCCCGAACCTCCCCCGTTTTCATCTGATGATATTGACTTCATCGGTGAATTGGCGTCGAGCTGTGCTGGGGATTCGAGAAATGAAGTCCTCGACGGAGTGGGTACACTCGATAATAGCCCCGAGTTACCAGAAGCTCCTAAAATTACTGATGAATGGGAACAAGAAGTCGAAGTGGATGACGATACAGAAGATGTTGAAGATCTAGATCCTGTTCCGTATTTTCCTCCTGTTCAAAAATCTTTCAAGTTGTCTGGTAATAAATCAGCTTATAAGTAATTACTCCGTCTTTTAATCTATCAATGTTGTATTGGTTACATTTTACTGTAAATTTCAGTTGGACCGGGTGTTGACAATATGAAACTCCTCTCAGAAACAAAATCTGCTCTATTGAACGAGGAAGCAGCTCAAGCAATGCCACAAAATGCCACAACACTCTTGGAAAACAATGCCAACCTAGAGCGAATCCTTGCTGCATGGAGTCAAGCAGTTCTTCCTACACCAATCACTGGTCCTATGCCTCTTCATGAGTTAGCTAATAGAAGTACCAAACTAAAAGAACTAGTCAAACTTGGAGTAGATTTGTACAAAATTGCTGGAAGACATGGGGACTTGGAGAGATTAATGGCATTAGACTGGGACCATCAAATAAAACCACAAATCAGGTTTGTTTCATGCCTCCAATCCACTCCATTAATCTAAATTAAATGTGTGAAATTATTGTATTATATTTTCATATTTTATTTTAGATTTCTGGTTGATTGTGGAATTGAGCCAGATCGCCTGGCAGATTTTTTCTCGCGCAACACAGCACTCCTATGGACTGACAAAGATGATATACAAGTTCGTCTCAACTATCTGGAGGCCAAACAATTTTCTCCTGAGCAAATTAAAAAGATTGTGAATGGTGGTGCATTTTGGCTTACACTATCGTATGTATCCTGTAATCAACTGCTGAAGACCATCAAGTTTTTGCATCTATCTAACATTGTCATATTCTTTACAGAACAAAAGAACTAGATGCAAGACTTGGTTTTATTCAGAAAACCTATAAGCTTCAAGGCAGTGATGTTCGTTCCGTTGCCTCATCCTACCCTGCAATAGTATCCACTCCTAAGTGGAGTGTATTTGTAGTAAGTAACACAGATCAATTAAAATGCTTTATATATTACAATTCTCTTGGTACGCTAATGGTATGAATGCTCTTATGTTCTCAGGACACAACAAAACTGATGGACCGTGAATTTGGGTTTACGGGTTGGGAACGTAAGCAGTTACTCTTGACAGCCCCACAATGTTATTTGCGTAAGTTTTTGGAGGACACATGTACCTCATTTACATTTGGAATGAATTATAATTTCTGTTGAACAATGTTAATTTATATGTTTCGTACTTTGCTCAGATCCATCTGTTTTAAGAAAGGCGTTTGATTTTTGCCATAATCAAATTGGATTTACTCATACCCAATTGGTACAACATGGACGTCTGCTTGTGAACAGAGTCAGTACAATGCAACCACGCTACAAGTTCCTTAAATTTTTGAAAAGAGACATTTTTAATGTTAAAGATCCTTTATACATTTCTCCAGACTGGTTATGGAAAGGTACTGTGGAGGAATTTTGTGAAGAAGCTGCAAAGACTTCTGTTGAGGACTTTGAAAACTACTTAAGATATTCAGATCATACTTAAGATTAGTCTGTTTTGTTGTATATTATTAGCCAATATTTAGTGGATAGAATTAACTTTAAGGATACTGTAGGTTTTCTATTGCCGTCTCCTCTAAGAGGATGTTTAATAAAATTAAATATCTTAACAGGGGACTGAATTGATGAATTTAATTACCACTTATATAATCACAGGCAAATAATTGGTAGAAGATACATTCAACTAATACTAATCAAAATACTGAGATTCCATGAAAAATATAATACTGAATCCAGCATAGAAATCATAAACTCATCGTCAGACTCTCAATTGTGACAGCAGCTAGCTAATTTTTCCAATCTCAATTTTTTGCTGAATAGCTCTGTATGAGTGGTAAAGGATACCATCAATAATGCTTGCCACAGTATATATCCCACCAATGATTGCACAGAGATTCACCAAGAAATGACCTAAAGGCCTAAACCAGAAAAATAATCAATTGAAGTAAATGTGCAGAGAGAGATAAATACTTTAGTAGTTCATGTAATAGACACACTTACTTTTCTTTTTCTGTATACTTCACCATCATTGGGGAAAGTTCATAGTTAAAGAAAACACCAGGCATGCCGGATTCACCATGCCCCATAGTTACAACCTGTTTCAAAACAGAACCATTGGATCTAATTTTTCATGGCAATGAACAAATCAATGTTGAAGAATAGAGCAAAATTGAGCAAAGCAAAATTTTTGTTTGCCCATTAGGAAAAAGACATTTTACCTTCTGGTGCTTCGTTACAGAGAATTGATTAGTTTGAAGAACACTTCCATCCCTGCGGACATAAGTTGTTGGGACGATTTTGATGTAATATTGGAACATAGTAGCACCTGAGAATCAGATAAGAACACTCTGTCATCAAGTTCTTTAAAAACTGTAAATGAAACAAAGTTTTTGAGTTCAAATATCCCTCTGCAGACGACTCATACAACATATGAATCCCACCACATAACTCCTTATTAGGAACAAGGTATGCCAAACAAAATTGATCCTTCATGCTTGTAACCTTTAATGTGTCAACAGTTCAATTTTTTAAAATATTCTCTTCGTTGGAAATCGCTAGAAAGTGAGCCCCGTAAAGACAGATTCGGCATGTTACTACAGTGAACAGTTGGCGAACCTTCTCCCAGACAAGATGTCCGCCCACCACGAGTTTTAACCCTTTGACCACTTTGATAGGACATCAAAGTTGTGATAGTTCCAC